CTTCTTCTGTTCCGCGGTGATGGAGCAGAAGAAAGCTGCGGAGAGGGAGAGGGAGCAAGCTCCTCTTCCTCAAGGGAGGAAGGCCTCGGAGGCGGGCGCGAGCGGGCGACAGGGCGTCCGTTCCCCGCGCGCGTCCTCGGGGTCAAAAAGCTCCCCAATGATAATAATTCCCCTCCCCCATCATAGCGTGTAGGGAGGAAAACCGAGGCGGCGGACTCGTGGAGGAGTCGGGTCCCCTGAGTAGCCCGTCGTTCTAACAGGGACACGTTGTAAAGTAGAAGCGCAGCAGCCCTTGAGTGGAACCGTCCAACTAGGGGGGATTCTGCCGCGGGGACCGTGACAGGTCGGGGTGGGGGTCCCGGCTTGTCCTGCACACGGTCCCGAGTTGGGACAACGCGGCGGCGTGTGTCCCATCGCGTCGTCAAAGCTGAGACTGACAAAGGGGAGAACTTTTGTTCCCCCTCCCAGTAGTCAGAATAGCCCGAGGGAGGGTCCCGACAGAATCCTTACCAGGGGTCCGGGTCCTTCCTTTAGAGGGGCTGAGTAGGCACACCTTGAAGGTTTTAGTGAGTATACCTCCCTTATTTTGCGGGATGAGGGAGGGACTCTCACATTACTCTGGCCATCTTCTCCCGAGGCCAGGGAATCCATAAAGAATTTCCTCCAAGCAAAAAAAAAAATTGAAGAAGCCCTCGGGGAATGGTGTGCCACCTTGTCGTGGTTCCCGAGCTTGAGCGCCGTGTTGATCTGGGAGTTATGCCGGCAGGAACTTCGGTTTCTGGCAGGGTCACTCTTGCCGGACAGGTCCACGGGGAGCGGCTAGACCAAAAGCACACCCGGGCAAACCGGGCTTGTCAGCCCCTGTGTGGACAGCCGGCCTAGGTGAAGGCCACACCGAAATCAAACCAACCTACCGGACCAGGAGATTCGGAACTCCAGGTCCCAGCGCTTGAGTGGTATCGTCCCGGCCACCCCTGGGTCGTCATCCCACGACGAGCTCTGCGTCGCTTGCCCCGCAAGGGTGACGCAGAATACTGCGTCTGCGAAGACTGATGCTGATGCGCCAGCATGTAAAAGGAGCGGTTCTTTCTGCTTTGGTACACGTGACCACAGTAGCAGAAGTCGCACCAAGAGTTATAGACGTATAGTCTATAACTCAGAGACAGAGGAAGAAGATTCTGGCGGCGGAAAACAACATCTTTTTGCTCCCACAACGGCTTAACCACCATCCGGCCCCTCCACCATGTTCGGGGACAAATCGGACAGTTGTCGGGGCAAACCCGAAGTTGCTCCATCCGAGCCAGCTGATTCTCCTCTTTCGCGAGACGCCGACTCTGATTCAAACAAAGCGCCTCTGCATGGAGATGCAGCAGCGCGAGATGGAGCTACGAGCAGAGAGGGAGCTGGCCGAAGATTTTGACGCGATCCGCGTATCAACAAGGTCAGCTCTTTCCAGTCGGCTCTCTTCTCTTAATCGAGTGGAGAGCAGTTGCGCTAAAGACGCTCCATCGCGGACGCTCATTTCCCGGGACATGCCAACGTCCCAAGTGGTTGAACAAGCCGCTAAGAAAGCGGAGGCTGTCCGGCAACTGGCAGTAAGATCGAAGCGCCTTAAGGGCACTTACGTCCGGTTCAAGGAGGCGGCGTCCGGCCTGTAAGAGGCGGTATTTATTGTCGCGGATCGGTTGGACACCACGAGCAAGGTCCAGCGCCTCGACGCGCTCAACACTAAGTTAAGCGCAGAAGTCACCGGCCTGCGCGATAAGGTCTCCTCCCTGGAAAGAGAGAAAGGCGCTGTTCAGGCTAAATTGAACAGCGTCCTAAAAGAAAACGGTCTTCAAGGGGAGGTTGATGCTCTTCACGAGGAGATGAGAGACATGAAAAAAAAACTCATGTCCCTCAAAATGGGCGAAGCTAAAGGAGGTAAAGAGCCGAAATAAACCGTCTCAACGTTCGGCCTCGTCTCCTTTGCCTAAAGCCACCTCTCCACAGAACAGAAGAAGGGAACCACATGGGTCGTCTCCCTCCTCGGTGCCGGAGGAACGTAGGGCTGAGACCACGCTTCTGCCGCCCTGTAGAGATCCCGACCGGAGTTCTCAACAGGAGATGCCCTCAGCATCTACCTGCGACTCCCCGGTCCCGCCCGCGGTGGCCGCCGGAGAACTAAGATCCCTTCGCGATATGGAGAGTCGCGTGATGGACGCTGTGAGAAGTCAGCTTTCAATCTTTTGGAAGCAGCTCCATCACCGACTCTCGGTGCCAACGGAGGAGCGAGTGGCCTCGTGGCTCTGGCCCGAGGCAAAGACGCCGCTGTCGGGAGGATAAGCGCAAAGCAGCGCTGCTGCCGCAGCCACTCCTCCTGACGGCGGTCCCTCTTCTTCCGGCAAACGGGAAAAGAAAAAGAAAAAGAAGAAGAAAGGGAAAAGGCAGACGGGGGACAAAGGGTCCGCCGAACGAGTTATTGCGGCTTCTTCTATGGCCCAGAATCAACCATCCTCCTCTCGTCTCTTTTCCAAACAGCAACTTCTTTCTGCCCCACCAAAAGAGACGTGGTCTCAGGTGGTGGGAAGAAAGAGCAAGGAGGGGAAGCGGACACAGGGACTGGTTCCGGCCCCCACATCAACGCCTCCCCCTCGCACGGGTAGGGACGCGAATCCCGCTGCTCCGAGCGTTAAGCCAGGGCAGCGTCCGTCCCAAACTAAAGTAGGGAAACTCTTTTGTTACGCGGCCATTACGCTGACCTCCCTCTCGGGCTCCAACAAGGCCGTGAAGAAAGCAATGGCCGAGGCGAGGGCCAAACTAAAGTTGGCGGACTTCGGTATAACCGAGGTCCGACCAAAGAGAGCCATCACCAGGGCCCTCATTATTGAGATTTCCGGTGAGGACAGCGAGACCAGGGCGGATTAGCTCTGTACAACAATGTCCCCCTTGGTCTCGAAGTTTGGGGTACGGGTCGCGAGGCCAGTCAAGACCGCAAAGTTGCGGGTAAGGGGCCTCGACAATTCCGTCACCCCTGAGGAAATTAGGGCCGCCGTGGTAGCTATTGGGAGTTGTCGGTCAACCGATGTGAAGGTAGGCCGAGCTCGCGCTTCCCCCAACAGGCTATACTCGGCTTGGATCCAGTGTCCGATCGCAGCGGCAAAGAAGATTACGGACACTGGATTCCTCGCGGTGGGGTGGGTGCGCACGCCGGTAGATGTCCTTGACCGCTGCTCTCTGCAATGTCACAAATGACTCCGGCGAGGGCACGTCATGGCGACGTGCACATACACCGCGTCGGAAGAGGACAAGAGGGGTCGGTGTTACCGGTGCAGCGACCGAAGTCACCGCGTAGCAGAATGCGGGTCGGCGCCAAAGTGCCCCCTATGCTCCGACCTCGGCCGCCCTGCGGCTCACTGTCTGGGCAGCAAGGTCTGCGCCCCTATCTCCTGCAAGGGGAAACAAAGAGCCGCAGCTAGAGGCGGAGCACAACCCGCCTCCAAAGATGTCTTTGCTGCCGTTGCGGGAACATCAACGGCAGCAGAGGGGGAGAGTCAACCTCTCCCCGTGAGTAGCGTCCTGGAGGAGGAGATGAAGATGGACACACTACAGTAATGGCGATCCTTCTCCAGGGCAATCTTAATCACTCCCGCGAGGCCCAGGATCTGATGATCCAAAGCCTCGCGGAAATTAACGGGCTTATCGCGGTCGTAGCCCTACAACGTCCCCGACCACTCGTCGTGGTCGAGGTCGGAGGACGGCTCTGTTGCGACATATTTTCAAGGAGTGGGAGGGTTAGAGTCCTTTGTCTTTTCTCCCCTGGAAAAAGGCAGGGGACTCATAGTGGTCCAGTGGAGAGAACTGGTGGTTGTGAGAGTGTACTTCTCGCCGTCAAGGCCCTTTTTAGAGTTCGAGGCGTTCCTAGACGATCTGAGTCGTGTCGTTCTCCGACACTCAGCCTGTCCAGTGCTAGTCCTGAGGGACTTCAACTCTAAGTCGGTGACTTGAGATTCCTCCAGAACGGACGCAAGAGGAAGGGCCCTAGAGAACTGTGCAGCAGCCTGTGGGCTCGCCGTACTAAATCGGGGCTCACAGCACACGTGCGTCAGGCGCAACGGAGGGTCCATTGTAGACTTTGCCCTTGCTTCCCCGAGCGCCATCCGCCGTGTGAACGAATGGTGAGTCAAAGACGATTTGGAAACCCTTTAAAACCATCGCTACATCACGATGAAGGTATTTGTACTCCCTGATCGCCTTCGGGGCTGGCGTCGGACGACCCTCGTTCCAGGGGTAGGTCCTCAAAAAACTGGACCCACAATTCCTGTCAGCCGCTGCTCAGATTGCGGCATGGCCAACTCCACCGGCCATGCCACGGGATCTCCAGGCGGAACTTCGGTGATTCCGAGAGACGCTAGTCGCCTTTTGCGACACAGCTATGCCCCACAGACCCCCGAATCGGAGGACGGCGTACTGGTGGACGGATGAAATAGCCTCCCTGAAGGTGGAGTGCATCCGGTCCAAAAACCAGTACACTCGCGCCCGTCGCCAAAGAACCGGCGACGTGGCAGCAAGAGCAGCGGAGGCGTACAAAAAGTATTGCGAAGCCCGCAAAGCTTTGTACCGCCCAAGTCAGGCAAAGTTCAAAGCGTGGTCAGAGCTCCTAGAGACTCTCGACGCAGATCCCTGGGGGCGCCCACACAGGCTTGTCATGAACAAGCTACGGCCGTGGACGCCCCCGATCACGGAGAGCTCGATCTCTAGCTCCTGGAGAGGGTTGTTTCCACCCTCTTCCCTAGCAGGAGAAGTTATTGGCCCTCCCAGGAGCCAGAGTTGGACTCGGTAGAGTGGTCTAACGAACTGGGGGTAACGGAGGAGAAACTTTGCCGGGCCGTCCGTCGGATGACGCGTAAAAACACCGCGCCCGGTCTCGACGGCGTGTCCGGAAAAGTCTTGAGCTTTGCCTGACAGAAGTCCCTGGGAGCCCGTCTCAGGCAGATCCTCACCGACTGCCTAAGGACGGGATGGTTCCTCCCGGAATGGAAGAGGGCCAGACTGGTCCTCCTCCGAAAAGAGGGCAAGCCGACGGACTCGCCGTCCGCATACCGGCCGTTTACTCAATGAGGCTGGCAAGCTCCTGGAGCGCATTGTCGCAAACCGCTTCACCGAACATCTGGCCGACTGCCAGTTTGGATTCCGTGAGGAACAATCGACGGTGGACGTGATCTTCCGCCTAAAGTCCCTCACGGACGCGTCGATCAGGCAGAAGGAGAGGGCGTTGGCAGTGTCGCTGGATATCTCCAACGCCTTTAACTCCCTCCGAACCTCGGGGGGCCCGGGGAAGAAAGTCCGCCGTCTCTTTGTGAACGTGGTGCGCGCGGTGGCCCTGTATGGACCATCGCTGAAGGCGAAAGTCGCAGCGGGGGCGGGCGCACGGAGCAAGTTTGGTTTGTACCGAGCGGCCCAAAGAGCAGTCGCCCTCCGCGTGATACGCGGCTTCCGCACCGTAGCCACGGCGGGCGTGTTAGCGGAGATATCTCCCCTCGCCCTCCTCGCACCAATGTACTCAGCGAAAATATCTTGCCGAGTCAAACTGTTGCAGGAGGGCGTAGAGAGAGACGGTCTTCGGGAGGCCCTCGCCAACGAAAAGTGCTAGGCCTGGCGACAGCTGCTCCACGATTGGGAAACGTGCGGTCGCCCAGGCAGTCGTCCAGGTGGTCCAGCTCCACCTTGAAGTGTGGCTAGAGCAGGGGGTCGGACGCCTCACCTATCGGGTGACGCAGGTGCTCATCAGGCACGGTTGCTTCGGTGAGTATCTGTGTCGTATAAGGAAGGAGCCGATAGCACAGTGCCACGAGTGCGGGGCGGCCAGCGACTCGGTGCGGCACACTGTGGAGCATTGTCCACAGTGGGCCAATGAGCGCCGAGAGCTGACCGCCAAAATAGGAGATGACTTGTCCCTGGAAGGCTTGATGAGGGTGTTGGTCTTCAGGGACAAAGATGAGTGGGAAGCCGTAGTCTCTTTCTGTTCCGCGGTGATGAAGCAGGAGGCTGCGGAGAGGGAGAGAGAGAGAGCTCCCCGCGCTCGTTCTCGGGGTCAAAGGCCTCCCCAATGACAGTAATTTTCCTTCTCCTATCAGTGTATGGGGAGAGAAGTCGGGGCGGCGGACTCGTGGGGGGACCGAGTCCCCTGAGTAGCCCGCCGCCCCCAACAGGGACACGTTGCGGAGTAGAAGCGCGGCAGCCCATGGACGGAACTACCAGAAGGACCGGCGTCTACCCAGGGGGATTCTGCCGCGGGGACCGTGACAAGTCGGGATAGGGGCCCCGGCCTGTCTTGCACGCAGTGGGGACGACGCGGCGGCGTGTGTCCCGTCGCGTCGTCAAAACAGAGAATGACAGAGGAGAGAACGTTACAAGTTCTCTCCTTCCAGTAATCAAAAGAGCCCGAGGGAGGGTCTCGACAGAGTCCTCACCAGGGGTTCCGGGTTCCTCCCTCAAACGGGCTGAGTAGGCACACCTTGGAAGTTTTAGTGAGTATACCTCCCTTATTTTGCGAGGTGAAGGAAGAACTCCCACATAATCCTGGCCATCTCCTCCAAGGCCAGGGTATCTATAAAGGATTTTCTCCAAGTAAAAAAAAAGATTAGGGTAGGTTAGGTTAAGTTTTTTCGGAGAGATTGCAGGAGATAGGGCTTCGCCTGCAGGGAAGCGCAGCCCTTCCTGCCTACACACTTACAACACGCACAAATAGAACAACATAAAGAATAAAGTGTAATTATAAGATAAATTTAACTAAAAGTTTTGGTGAATATCTCAAAAACTAAAGCCGAGCGGCAGTCATATGTATAAAGAAAATTTATTCAGAATGTTGATCTTGACAATATATTTTTAAGGTCATCAAAATCGGTGAGATCCCCCCTAATGTAAATAATTACCATAAATATATATTCATATAAATAAAAATAAATATAAATATATAAATATATATTTAGAATTTTTTAGAGAAAAAAAGAAGTGTAAATTTTTTACACTTGATTATTTGAATTAAAATTTTAATTTGTAAATTCATATAGAATGGTATACTTGCATTACATATATGAAAATACCTATTTTTCCTTTCCAACTAATTTAGAAATAAATATATTTAAGCTTAAAATTTTAACACATTTATAAAAATGACTTAAAACATCTTGTGTAATCTTTAAATGTTTTAATTGTTATCATTATTTAATGAAAGACATGTATCGATTTAAACTGTTGTACTTGCAAAATATATCAAAGGATTTTTATATGTTTAAGAGAAGAAGTTCATTAATGTGTAACAAAGTTTCAAGCTTGTATGTATTAATGCATTTTACCAGTATGTACCTGAGCGAATGCCGTAGCGACAGCACCACTGACAATCGCGAGAAGATTTCGCTCTATCCATTCCTCACCAGCCTGTATGCATCCTTTCTCGTAAATCACTTTGGCGACTTCAAAGTTCTGAAAAAAGAAAGGAAACGGCTACTTCACTTACCGGTCACGGTTGCTTTCCAATACGCGCTATAGTTACAGTTGTTAATCCAGGAGAATTCGATGACGATGACGTTAAGTTCCGTGGAAAAAGGATATAATAAAGGTTTCCGTGAAGAAAGGATAATTACTGTTTTTTTTTATATAACTTGGTATTTTTTAGTTGTTTGTCTATTGGTTTTTACTTCAATATGCTCGTAATCATTTTTCAAACATTCGTCGCAATATATGTTTTATTATATGCGAGAACTATTGCACTGCATGATCATTATGCAGAATATTTACCTATTAAAGCTACACAGAAACAACTTCTGTATAGCTCCAAGCTATATAGAAACAAAGGTTTTCTTAATTTGTGTTCAAAATCATTTTGTTTTATTTTATTTTTATAACATTTTTATAACATTTATTTATTATACAAATAAATTCTAACATTAAAAATCGTTTAGTTTATAGTATTTTGATATACATTGATTGTTGATACCAAAATACTTGAATGAAAACTTACGAGAACTAAAAAGATTAAATTTATTAAATTAATAAAAAAGAATATAAGATTCTTCGGGCCTCTAAAGTCTATTAAAATAACGAAATAAATTAAATTCAAATCGAGTTGTTTGGGCCGTTTTGCAAGATGTTATGCAGAGAATGTGCTTGAATATATATACAGGGTGTCCCAGAATTGGTTTAACATCTCTCGTAGACAGGTAGAAGGAATAAAACTGAGGTGAAAAGTCCTATACCATTTTGCTAGATTCGCAATAGGTACCGAAATCTTAATTAACAAAGATCCGCGAATAAGCGTGCATCGGGCTGTCTTACGCGCGTAGGACAGCCCGGCGCGCTTCACACAATTACATTTTAATATGTATATGTTATAGTATATGCT